CATGCGGTGGAAAGTGTGTCGGGGGGGGGGGGGAGTGTCAGGACAGGGGATAGGAGGAGTGGGAGTTGATACAAGCTCTGAAGGGGGGTTCTAGTGTTGGGCCAGAAATTAGGGGTTCAGGGTGGGGGAGGGAGCTCTGGGCTGAGGCAGGTGGTTGGGATGCCAGAGGGGGTGATGACTCCAGATAGAGATGCAGGCTCTAGAAATAGGACAGGGATGAGGGGACTGGGGTACAGGAGGGTGCTTCAGGCTGGGATCTAGCAGTTCAGAGGGCAGAAGGGGGGGATCAGGACTGGGGAAGGGGGTTGGGATGTGGGGCACTGCTCAGGGATGCAGGCTCCAGGCAGTGCTTACCTCAAGCAGCTCCCAGAAACAATGGCATGTCCCTGCTGTGGCTCCCATGCAGAGGTGCAGCCAGGCAGCTCTGTGCACTGCCTCATTTGCATATGCCACCCCTGCAGCTCTCATTGGCTGGGGTTCCCAGCCAATAGGAGCTGCAGAGCTAGCAGTTGGGATGGGACAGCGTGGGAAGTCTCCTGGCTGCCCCTAGTGTAGAAACCAGAAAGGGGACATGCCCCTGCTTCTAGAAGCCACATGGAGGCATCCATGGCAGGCAGGGAGTGTGCCTTAGCCCTGTGGTGAGGCTGATCAGACTTTTAATGTCCTGAGCCACCAGAGTCCCTATCGAAAACCAGACACTTGGCAACCCTAACCCCTTCCCGCACCCCAATCCCCTGCCCCAGCCCAGTAAAAATGAGCGAGTGGATGAGGGAGGACAAGTGACAAAGGGAAGAGGGGTGGAGTGACTGTGGGAAGGGCCTCAGAGAAGGGGCAGGGCCTTGGGGAAGGGATGGGACAAGGGTGTTTGGATTTGTGCACTTGGAAAGTTGGCATCTCTTTGCTATCAAAGTGCAGAAATTTCCCAGCGGGGGAAGCTGAAGGTGTCAACTGTGGCCAGGAGGGGGTGCTGCAGGCCGACTTTCCGGCGCAATTGCGTTTATGATCACCACGGTTGCTACTCCTTGGCGACGGGGCGAGCTGCTGGAAAGAGATTAAAATCATAAGATCACACACATCTAATAGTGGCGCTGCGTTTTGCATGGCACAGGAAGCGGAGATCCTGATCCCTTGTATTCCTAAGCGGGATAAGTGCAGACCAAAACGGGGTGTGTGTGTGAGAGGGAAGGTCCGTCCCTGGACCCTCTTCTGTTGGGGAGAGGGACCAGCTGCCAAGCTTACACAGGGCTCTTCTTCCCCAACACAAGCTGGTCCAAAACCAGATATGACCTCACTCGTCCTGTCTCTCTACTAGTATGGGACCCACACAGCTGTCACAACCCCACATAAAAGGGACCCTGTTACTTGTCTGATTACTGGCTGGTTCAATGCTCCTTGGCTGATGACTGTCTGCCCCGAGGCTGACACTCCCTGGCTCACACTGCTGCCTGGCGTTAGCAGCACGCTGGCCAACAGCCCCTGCGATATTCCAGCCCCGCACTGGCTGCCCGGCATCTCTGGTAGAAACACTCGCTCCCTTTCTGCGCCGGGCACTGAGAAGGGGGCTCCCTTCAGCCTGGAAGGGGCTAAAGAAATGTTACCGGCGCTCCTGCCCTTTAAATAAAGGGCGCCGCCAGCCCTGGGTGCAGCGCGGGAGAAGAGGCAGCACTAGGTCCCTTTAAGCGTTGCATCCACAGGGGGAGGATCTTCTCTGCGGTTCCGGCTGCAGCTACTAGGAAGTGACTGCCTAAGTCCTCCCCTCCTGCTCTGCATTGAGCTGACTCAGTCTGTGCAGTTGTTAGGGACTTAGGTGCAGCCGTGTGGGCTCCTGGAGGTAGGGGAGCAGCTGCTGCACACAGGTAACCTCCTGCCTGCTGGTCTCCTTTCCCTTTGGTGTGGTGCTGACGCAGCTTCATTTTAAAACTCTCTCCTAGGGACTCACTGCGTGAGGCTAGTGCTGGCGGCGGTTCCAGAGTGAAAAGGTTGGTTTGCAGTTTCCCGGGTACCTGCCAGCTGGCGCCGGGAGGGTAGCAGCAGAGTTGCCCATTGATTGTGCCTCAGCCCAGCTCCAGAAGGACCACAGTGAAGGGGTGAGTTCATTCTCCCTGGGGCTCTCAGTTTTGGGCCTCTTTGTTCAGGCTGCAAAAGCAGGATGGGCACTATGCCGAGGCTGTGTTATTTGGACCCATCCTGCTGGAAATCAGACCAGCTACCAGATAGCTTTCCTGAAGCAAATTGTGGAAAGACTTTGGCCTGATCTGCATTAGAAAAGGTTTGCTACTACTATAGTCACCATGCCAACACACCCTCCTTGCACAGGCCTGGCTTATACTGACAAAAGAGTACTCTTGTCTGGAGTGTACTCTGGTGGCACTAATGAAACTGGCTATCCTGGTAAAATCACTCTTTGCCAGTATAACTGATTCTACACTAGGGATAAGGAGTCCTGTAGCACCTTAGGGTGTGTCTAGACTACAGGGTTTTGTTGACAAAACTGGACTTTTGTCGACAAAACTAAACCTGCGTCTACACTACCTCTGAGTTCTGTCGACATAACGTTGACAAAACTCAACAGTTTTGTCGACGTTGGTAACCCTCATTTTACAAGGAATAATGCCTTTTGTCGAAAGAAGGCATTATTGCATCTAAACTGTCCTTAGCGTCTACACTGCCATGTCGACAAAGCAGCTTGCTTTGTCGACAGAACTGAATGTAGTCTAGATGCTCTTTGTCGACAGAAGCTTTGTCGACAGTATCTGTCGACAGAAGTTTTGTCGACAAAAGCCTGTAGTCTAGACGTACCCTTATAGACTAACATGTTTTGGAGCATAAGATTTCCTGGGCAAAGACCCACTTCATCAAACGCATGTCAGATGCCATGCATCTGACGAAGTGGGTCTTTGCCCACGAAAGCTTATGCTCCAATACAGGCAGTCCCCAGGTTACACGGATCCGACTTACATTGGATCCCTACTTACAAACAGGGTGAGGCAACCCCGCACTAGCTGCTTCCCCCCAGCAGACCCGGGAGACGCGAAGCTAGCGCCCCCCCTCCCCCCCGGCAGACCAGGGAGACGCGGAGCGGCTTTTCTCAGCAGACACCTCAGCTTGAGAATAAAAGACTGAGGGAAGTGAGGTGTGGGAGAATAAAACTGAGCTCTGGAGAATGTTTGGCTAGAGGTTCCCCTACAATATGTACCAGTTCCGACTTACATACAAATTCAACTTAAGAACAAACCTACAGTCCGTATCTTGTACGTAACCCGGGGCCTGCCTGTACATCTGTTAGTCTATAAGGTGCTACAGTACTCCTTGTGGCTTTTGCAGATCCAGACTAACATGGCTCCCCCTCTGATACCAGTTAACCATTCACATCCCTAGTGTAAGCATCACCCTTACCAGCTGCCGTGGGTAAGAGGAAGTTCTAGCCTGACAGTGCCTGCTATCTGCAGTAACACTTTGGCCCTGGCTGCTCCTGTTTAAGCAGTTAACCAGTTAAACATCCCATTTAAATGGTTAACTGATTAAATGGGATTTTACATCCCTATTCTACACCAGGGCTTTGGGTGGTACCAAAATATTGCCAAAAAAAATCCAATTCCTATCTGACATTGCTCTACTGACAAAAGTTTCTAGTACAGCCCTGGCCAAGGACACATCTAAGCAGGGGCTGGAATCAGACCAATGCATGAGTGCTGGGAGGCTACGTATCCCTTGTCTCAAGCTGCCTGCCTTCTTGAAATGTAATGCTTATGTCTGAAGTGGGGGTAAACTGGCATGTTTGCTTTATACCAGCAGAAGTTCCGGCCTCAAGGGTACGTCTACACTGCAAGGCTATTTCGGGATACCAGAGGTAACCCAAAATAGCTACCCTGCAACTACACAAACTGCCCGTTATTTTGAAATCTTTTTCAATGCTATTTCACCCTCTCAGTAAACCTCGTTGCATGAGGGATAAGGAATGGCTCAAAGTAGCACTTTATTTCAAAATCTGGTGCTGTGTAGATATGCCAAATTTCAAAATAAGCTATTTTGAAATAAAATTGAAATAAGATGTGCAAGTTGCATAGCGCAAATTGCGTATCTTATTTCAAGTTTAGGGTACAGTGTAGATTCACCCAAAGTGTCTTACTCTACCAGTTTTAAACCAGGCACAGCTATGGCAGACAGGGTGGAAAGAGCTTGTGATCTGGCATAGCTGGGTTGGGAGAAGTCCCTCAGGTAGATGCAGTTAGGCCAGCAAAGCTAAGCCAACAGTCAGTCTTAGGAAAAATGGTGTCATGAGCGAACTTGTATTTTGGCACCCCTTGAGTTTAAGTATGTAGTAGCGCAGGGCTACTCAACACGTGGCCTGTTTGTTTGTGGCCCATGATGCGATTTGGGTTTATGGTGCAGTTTGGGTTGATATGTGTTTTAGTTTTCAAATCCCTGGACTGTTGTAAAGCCAAAACAAAATAATAGTCAATATAGTGGTCTTCTGTTGATAAGAGTTGTAGTAGTTAAGTTCCTGAACTGTCATTGCTAATTAAAAGTGCTGTCATATGGGTGGAAATCGGGTAAATATTGCATTTTATTAATATCAGCAGAACTGATTTAAACGGGGCCTGTGTGTTGTGTAAGTCTTGCCTTAATCTTTGTATTCATGCCTGTCAGTGTGAAAGAAGCTAGTTAAGTGTGGTTGCATATATATGCAAATATATTCAAGTTGTGGCCCTCGGCATGCGCTCTGAGTATCATTGTGACCCTTGGAGCTTCAAAGTCGAGTAGCTCTGTAGTAGCATTAGCGAAAATTTCAGAAATAAAGCGGTAATCTCAAAAGTTTTCATAAATTTGCTGAAAAAGTTGACGCACAACTTGATTCAGTGTTATTAAAATAATAAACTATGTAAGTCATAAAATATTATAGCTAGGTGTCAAATAAACTAAACACTAAACTAACAAATAACAACACATCCAAATTGTTGTTCACCAAGATGCTAAGATTCAGAAGGGAGTACTGCGTGTCTCTGCTACTGCAAACTTTGACATTGCTTCAGAGGGATAGCTGAGTTAGTCTGTAACTGGAAAAGCTTAAACAATGAATAGTCTGGCAGCACCTTAAAGACTAATAAAACATGTAGATGGTATCTGTGGCTCTAAGTCTTGCCCGTCACAAGCATTTTCCACAAACAGGGTGTGGAATTGGAGTCTCAGGAGATTAAGGGACCAGGCACGTCATTGAGACACATGAAGGAAGCTGCTCAGTCCTTTCTTCCCTGGGTGCAGGGCCTGCTATTGTTTCTGCCCCTTGCAAAGGGAATTGATATTATCAGTGCTTCTTGGCCAAGACCATCCTTTAAGAGCTACATGGGGAATGGATTATTTTAGATTAAATATTTAACCTAAGATATGAGGCACAGAAGGCAGGTTGCTATTTTTGAATGGCATCAGATTGTGAAATGAAACAGTGGGTGAAAAACCTGAGTGGGTCACTCACCCTTCAGTGGGGTTCTTCCTCCACAGTTTGAGCTGCTTTGCAGAAACCCTGGCAGCTCCCTACCTGTAGCTTGTTCCTTGTGCCTGCTGGTTGGCCTGCAGCTCAAGGTGAACTCCATGCTGTCGGATGGGGGCTGCATCTTGACTCACCAGTGGTGCCATTTCAGATTTTGGTGGGGGTGGAGAGCGGTAACTTGAACCATGATTCCAGAGGATACTTAGGCACCTGAAATCTCTAGTTTTATTTTTTACCTTTCTTATTGTACAAATAACTTAGAAAGTAGCTCTTGATTTCACAGTATGCACAAATCCAGAAATATTTCCATCAGTAATAAATTATTTACGGTTAGGGAAAACAAGAAAAATGCTGCTTGAGAATTTGTTAGAATTAAAATTCAGTGCTATAAACTTCTAAACTGGACTTGTTATAAATGGACAAGTGAATGAAAAGTTAAATCAATAAATCATATCTGGTTTTAGGCTATTTATTTTGTATATTTTGATATATGAAATTGACATTGAGTTTGTATTGCTGTTTTGTTGTAGTCATGCTGGTACTGGGATGAGAGTAGCAAGGTGAGTGAAGTAATATCTTTAATTGGACCAAATATGATTGGTGAAAGAGACAACTCTTTGGAACTCGAGAGAGCTCTTCTCCAGGTCTGTGGAGCTCAAAAGAGCTAATCTTTCAACAATCAAAGCGGGTCCAAAATCAAAGAAGGTATTCCCTTACCTACCTTGTCACTCTATTTGTATTTTAACAGCTTTAAAGCTTGAACTCTTTGAATCTCAACTTCTACTGTTGTTAAAAAATTCTGTCCTCCCCCCATAATTTCCTACAACTATGAAAATTATAAAAAGACAAAAAATGTATATATTACACAAAGTTATAAAAGATAAAAAGTGCATGCTATCAAGCTTATTTATAAGCCAGAGCAGCAAGGGTGAAGCATTGCAGAGGGGGTGGGGAGATGGGGCAGATTCAATATTCCCATGGAGTTCCTTCTAGGTATGTCTGCGGGGCTATTCTAGGATACTGGAGCTACCCCGGGTCTTTTAAATGTGCCCGTTATTTCAAAAAATATTTTGAAATAACGGACACGCTATTTTGGCATCCCTGTAGCCCTTGTTCCTCGAAGGTTAAGGGATGACTTGAAATAGCATGTTATTTTGAAATTTGGTGCTGTGTAGACACACCAAATTTTGAAATAAGCTATTTTGAAATACAATTGAAATAATATACATAATTTGCATAGTGCAAATTGCATATCTTATTTCATATTTTAGGGTGCTGTGTAGATACACCCTCTGAGTTTAAGGGTTTGATTGAAAGTGCAAGTTACAACAATCACACATTGTTTTCAGATCCTCAGACTAGGAACCTCAGTGACTTCCAGCGCATGAAAAATGTTTGCAGGTTAAGATGTAAGCAAATAAAATGTCCTTATTCTTAATCTTGATGCAAAACAGCACTGAGCCCAACCACAACTTTGACAAGGCTCTCTGCCCTGAGTAATTTCAGCCTCCTGTTAAGTACAACTTGTAGTGAAAACAGAACCATAACCTGAGGTTGTAAATAGGTGATCAAGAATTGAATGAAAGGTATGTGTTTCAGCTAGCCAGGCAGACCCCATTCCCATGGGATAGCTGATCTCAGTAACATTTATCCCCTCTGCACCCACCCACCTGCTGCACATTGGGGAAGCAGCAGCAGAGCCCCCCCTCCCAAAAGTGAGTGAAGCTTCTGCTGTAGGGGAGCAGAGAGGACAGGACCTTCAGCTGCTGATGGGGACCCCCCCACACAACTCAAGTGTCATATCCCCCTCCACAGCCCGTAGCCCAGCCCTCCCCCTTGTCCCAGTTCCCCAATAGGAAAGCAACTGTTCCTTCCTCCCTTACCTAACCTCTCCCTGCACAGCTGAAGCAGCAGCCTTCCCTCCTCCCTACTACTCTGGTCTCAGCTATTTGGTGCACACGCTACTTTTATTCCTCCTGTCCTGGCCCCAGGCTGCCTCCAGCAAGCAGGAGCGGGAGGAGGAGAGAGCTGGGCAGACAGACCCTGGCAGAAAACTGTGGGGGTGGTGGGGAGGGTAATGTGACTCAGCACAGTGTCTCCCCATGTGTCACCGCTCTGCAGAGAAGGGATGGGATGGAAACACAGGCAGGCTCCAACAGTGCCCTGGGTTAGCCTGGTGCTCTCTTTGCAGCACTAAATGTGAGATAGTGCACCAGTCCTGCCAGCAGAGCCCGGAGAAAGCCCTTTCCTAGACCAATGGCTCTTAGGGGGAAGGGGAAGAAAAGGGAGGGTGGACTCTGCCCTGCTCCACACTAACACACACCCAGATAGCAGGGCTGCTACAAACCCCAGCCAGCCAGAACACAGAGAAGCTGCACTCACTCGCACTCCTTCAACTCTCACCCCCACCAACCTCAGTCACCCACCCCAAAGCCTCTTCTAGCACAGCTTGCCCCCTCTACTCCCCACATGGCTTCTACAGGGGGCCCTCTGTCCCAGGGATAAGGGGGAACCCCCTGGGCACCCACCCCTGCTGCTACTCCCACCAGACCAGAGGATTTACCTGGGACGAGTGAGTGAATGCTTCTTGTCCTCCCCCTGTGTGAGCTGAGTGCTGTGTTTCTTTCCCCTCCTGCTCAGCTGGCTGGCAACAGCTCTATTCAAACCTGTTCAATAGAAGCTGGCTGGGTCTATTCAAATGTGCTCCCCATCAGCACAGTGCCGGCTCTGGTTCCCATATCAAAGGCTGGCAATGGCTGAGCCTTTCCCAGTATAGCTTGCTTTTCTCAGGGGGTGGGGGTGGGGATTTTATTATGGATACAAAGCATAACTTTGCCAGTATAGTTTCTCCCCCACTAGGACCGCTTTGCTGATACAGGTAATGGTATTCCTGTACCAGTAAGCTTTCCCCTTCCTTGCAAGAATATTAGATCATATTTTGTTTCCTGTTAGGTGGGGCTGAACTACTCTCTGACCTCTCAGACTGCAGACATGGCTACACTGGAGATTATGCCAATGTAATGTTGACGGCATGGCCTGCTAGTGCAGATGAATCCCACACTGACAGAAGGAGCTTTTCCATCAGTGCGGGATCATCCCCTCCCCCCTCTCATGGCATTAGCTCCTTTGACAGAAGCCTTTTTCCGTGTCTATACTGAGGGTGCTGTTGGCCCACCCCTCCCCCCGACCAGTGAGGCTATGCCAGTGTAACTTCTGTGTAAGCAAAGTCTGACTGTCCTGGACACCTCATGCAAGAGCAGCCTGTGCACTGGTACATTCCTGAATGGGTGGACAGAGCAGAATGCATGGACTGGGAAGAGGCATAGAGCCAGAATGAGGTGGCAGCAATGCAGTAGGGAGATCCTGAGAGTGGAGGTAATGGAGCTTCTGAAATTAATATAAGAAACTGGAGATAACAATGATGAGACAGACCATCTGGTCCCATAGCCTATCTCTGACAGTGGCTACTCCTAGTCTTGTCTCTGCCAATATCCCTCAATCCTTACAGGCCCTGCACCTTGTTATTCTAGCTGTGGGATTTCTTCGTTCAGCCTTTCCTGCTATTCCACAGAAGCAGCGGATTGAATTCAATTAAAGGAGGCTTTGTGGGCATGGCAAGCTATAGAGGTGTGCCAAGCACCTAAATTGTGCACCGTGGAAGGGAGGATTTTGCTCTGGGGTGGGGATCTATGGTAGAATAGGCCCTGGTAGCTGATGAAACCTGAGCTGTTTCCCTGAAGATGCTAATAAGCACTGTGTGAGAGGAGTGTCAGGTTTATGAAGGAGGGGGAACAGACTCCAGCAATTTGGCATCAGGTAACAGAGCAATTACAGTTCTGATGGAGAAAGGTCAGGATCTGCCTCCCTTGCTCACTGTCCCCTTTTTCTTTTAAGGTGCCAGGAGACAGACAAAACGAGATGTCCTCGCTGCTGAAATGGTCTTCCTTGCCAGTGGCAGGTAGGTTTCTGGGTTGCTAACTGAGGGAACCTGCTGCTGAAATCCACGTTTGATTCCCACTCTATGCATGTGGGCAGCTGGGTTAGCAGGTGCAATGGAGCCAGGAGGGAGAGCTGAATTCCTTCTGTTGCTCAATCACAAAACCCTCCCCTTCCTGGCAGTTAAGGAGCATCACTGGCATGTTGCCCTGGAGGGTGTAGTCTGGCTGATGGTGCTAGCTGCCAGAGGAGGCAGCCTCTGGTGACGTGAGGGGGAATACCAAAGGAAATGCCTCCAGGGGTTAGAACTCACCAGAAAGAAACCCCAAATATCCCAGCACATTACCTCTGTGATTAAAGGGCAAAAGTTCCTGGGTTCGGATCACCTCACATTGGAAACCTGGTGAAACTGGGGCAGCTGAGATGTGGGAGGAGGAGGAGGGAGGTGAGAGTGCAAGGCAAACATGCACTGGGGGGGACAAGGACAAGCAAGATGCTGGGAGCAAGTGGGGTAGGGAATGGAGTGGCAAACAGGCTGGAGTTTGTTGGGTGACTAACAGTTAGCACAAGTGTCCCTCCCTCTGCCCATTTGGATGTGAAAGGTTAACCAGTAAGCACCATCCTTAATGGCTGATGCTTACTGGTTCTGGTTAACCAGTGGGGACTACTGCCCCCTCCACTTGTCCCCATTTTAATCAGTTAACCGGTTAAATGTAATGTTTAACCAGTTAACTAATTAAAGGGGATTTTACATCCCTAGTTCGGAGTGCTGTGTGATGACTCTCACATCACTCACACTAAGCAATGAGGCTGCAGCATGCTAGGGGTGTGGCTTGCTGATGTATGTTGTATTTCAGGCATGGTCTCGGAGCTGAAGTTCTCAGTTCCTTGGGGCCACATTGCAGCCAAAGCCTGGGGATCCCCGCAAGGCCGTCCTGTGCTCTGCTTGCATGGCTGGCTGGACAATGCCAACACCTTCAACAGACTCATCCCATTGCTCCCTAAAGGTGGGCAGATCTGTTATGCGAGAGCCTTTAGTTCGCTGCTGGGAAGGAGGTTCCTCTGAGACTTACTGTCTGCGTTGCCCCTCTTTCAGATTACTGCTACATGGCAATGGATTTTGGGGGCCATGGCCTGTCATCCCACCGGCCTGCAGGCTTTCCATACCACTTCCTGGACTACGTGAGTGAGGTCTGCAGGGTGACGGCAGGTGAGCAGACTGGGAGGACTAGCAGGGCAGGAAGCTTTGTGTCCCTGGCTCTTTTGTTAATGAGACCACTGACCACAGCCAGACAAGACTCCTCTCACCCCCTCCAGGCTGCAACCACTTACCTCTGGCCTTCCTCTTGCCTTATCTCCCTTCTGGAATCTCTCTTCTGGGGGTCTGGAACTACTAGATTTTGTGGGGCCCTGCTAGGCTCTGGGGTGGGACCAAAAATGAGGGGTTCAGAGTACAGAGGCTGCGAGTTGTGGCAAGAGAGCATAAGGGTTCTGACTGGGGGTGCAGGCTCTAGGGTGGAGCTGGGAATGAGACACTTAGGGTGTAAGAAGGAGCTCCAGGCTGTGGCCAAAGGGTTTGGAGTGTGGGAGCGGGCTCATGACAGGAAGTGTGGGGGGGTGCAGGATTTGGGTGTGAGTTAGGGTGCTGGAGCAGGCTCAGGGCTGGGGCACAGGGTTGGGGGTGGGGTCTAGGAGGGAGTTGGGGACTCTAAGCAAGGGGTTGGGGTGCAGGGTCTGGAAGGGAGTTAGGATGTGGCGGGTCAGCTAGGGTAGCGGCTTGGGGTGCAGGGCCCTTACCTGGGGCAGCTCCCCTTTGGTGTGGGGGAAAGCAGGTAGCTCAGTGCGACCCATACTGCTCTGTGGTGGCCTGCAGGCTCCACCCCTGCAGATCCTGGCCATTGAGAGCTGTGGGGGCAGCACCTGCAAGTGAGGGCAGGGTGGGGATGAAGCTTCCCTTGGTACTTGGGGCTATTTGGCTCCAGCCCTGCAGAGGGCACAAGTGTATGGAGCCACATCCTCTCCTCTCCCCGCAGCCGGGCAGGACTGGATAACACACTTGGGGTTTAGTGAAGGGGTGGGGAACTCCTTTTGGATTGGAGGCCCCTGACCCACAGAAAAATCAGTCGGGGGCCACGGGTGTGGGGGGGAGGGGGGGCGTGGAGTGCCAGCAAGGGCTCCCCAATACTGGGGGAGGCCCTAAGCCTTGGCAGCCAGATCCAGGCAACCCAGGAGCTGCATCAGGCCCCTGGGTCTTAGGTTCCCCCCCACCCCTGGTTTAGTGCCTGCAATTCAGGGCCCCAGGCTAAGGAGGCCTCACAAAATGATATGGACTGTTGGTGGCCCAGAGAGCTGTTTGTGGGACTCTACCCCACTCCCCTTAGCATGGGGCCCTGGGCTACAGCCTCTAAAGCCTCTTTCTTAATCCAACCCTGCTCACCAAGATCCATCCTCTGGATAGCTCCTAAGCCAGACTCCTCCTTGACTTTGGCTTTAGCCAGACTGAACCCCAGGGTCCCTCAAAAAGCATTTCATTCAGAAAACGCTGTAGGTGCAGAGGGAGGATAATGCTGCTTACCTGGGCTCCAGGCAGCATGGGACCCCAGTGAGGAACCGAGCTTCAATCACGGCAGGAGCCAGACCCCTCAGGTACCATGAACACTGAGGGTCTCTTCTTTACACCAGTCCCCCAGAGCAGTGCCCTGCAACCATAGCCTGGATGAAGAACCCAGTTTCTGACACTTTTTCCAGGGCAAGACACATGAAACCATGCGATAGAAATAAAACGCTGTAAGAGCAGCAGCAGTTACTGCCCTGCCAATGTGTCCAATGGATTTCTCTGCTGCCAGATTCACCCCCTCCTGCCAACCAGCCCTCAGGCCTGTTAAAGTCTTGACATTCTTCCTGTCCAACCTTTCCCTGGTGCAGAGACAGTTTTTGTGTTTTACACCAGGGTCAGCCATGAACTAAAGCAGGTGTGACAGGGCTCTGCAGCTCCTCAACACATCCGGGTGTGATTTCCTGCCTGGTAGTGGAACTGGAAAGAGGCTTCTGCTGCTCAGTGCCAGTCTGTCTCCCCAGGGACTAAGGAGAGTTCAATGTACCTCTTCCTTTCAAGGGCTGCAGTGCAAACCCTGTCTTGGAGATGCCAGGGCACCATCGCAGGAGCAGGCTGACTGGGGCTGTAACTCCCAGTCTGATTTCCACAAAGGGGAAGGGGCTGTTAGGCATTGTGTGACTCGGGAACCTGACATGCTGAATTGTGCCACAGACTTGCACTAAGAATAACAACAACCCTTCCCCAGGACCCGGACTCTGTCTGCCCTGTTCCCTAGCAACACTAGCAACACTCGTCCTCTCGTTAGTGCAGTGTGCAGCCAGGCTCCTTTGTCTGACTGATGGTCCCGAGGACTTGCCCCGAATGGGAACAGCTGCCCAGTACCTGGTGCTGAGAAGCTGAGGCAGGTGGTTGGACTCTGTAAGCCTGGCCTACTAATCCATTGTATTGCCTGACCAGGAAGCAAAACTTCAGTGAAGGCTTCTTAGGTATCTGTGGGGGGAAGGAGTGAGTGGCAGCACATTGCTGCTGCTGTACTGAATCCAGTGTCACCTGTTTGTATCTATTGCTTTGTAGCTTTGAAGTGGAGTCGATTTACTCTAATGGGTCATAGTTTGGGTAAGTGACTCTTGTCCCAATGGCAAGCGCTGGCGAATGATTAACTTGCATCACTTTCTTTTGGGAGAGAACTGACTGCTGTACTCTCTCTCTCTCTCTCTCTCTCTGAGTACCAGGCACCCCACCCACTTGCAGTAATTATGTGGCCCACATGCCATGCAAATTACATGCAAGCTGCACTCATTGAAAAAGAAATAAATGTTGAGGCCTCTTGAGTACCCGGAAACCAGCCCAAAATGCAGAGTGGTTTCAGCTAATGCAGAGCTGCATCCCACAGTTGGAATAGAGCCTGAAACAACGGCAATGTGAGGTGTGACCACCTCAAACCCTCTTCTTGATCTCATTGAGGCCTTTAGTCCTAAGGATGAGACTTTACATTTCACTAATTGTTTGGTTGCTCATCACTTTGTCAGATGGGGTGGTAATAGGAGTGGGTATGAAATCTATGGGGGAGCTGAGCCATGCTGCAGGAAAGGAATGGCTCCCTCTTCACCCTACTCCTCTCTTTTGCCCTGGAGAAAGAAGGAGAGGTGTGAAGTGCAGGAGAATAAGAAAGGGGAGGACATGGAGGAAGCCTAGAGGCCTAACAGTGACTTGGGTGATGCTGAATGTAACAAAAGTGGACTTTCTGATCAGGGGCAGATGACCATTTTGCAGGGCCCCGGACAGGATAATTCCGCAGGGCCCCCCCTTTGCCACGGCACATGCGCAGTAACGCCATGCGCATGCGCGGTGGTGCCACGGCGCATGCACGGGGCTTTTTGAAGCGCAGGGCCCGGGGCGGCCGCCCTGCTCACCCTGCCCTATATCCGCCCCTGTTCCTGATATCCTCATTGTTATTACATACAGTCCATATTCTGTGGTTGGCTGCCATCGGTGGGGAGGGGATCAAGGCCCCTGAACTTAGCCCTTGGCCTGTCAGTAAAAACGTTCCTTCTCCAGTGGGTTTGACACCTCAGATCTGATCTGTCCCCTCCGCAACCATATCTCCATGGTCCCAAAGCACTGGCAGTTCCCCTGAGGCAGACTGAGGGTGGTGTCTGAAGGAAACAGCCAGTATTCCTGCCCTATTTCCCCCAGCGCCCCCAGCTGGGAGACTCACTGACCCATGGCTTGGGATTCAAACTTCAGATGAGGTTGTTGCCTCCTTGTCAAACATGCCTAGTGAGCGCTTCCAGGCCCCTCTCCAGTACTCCCTGGCACCCTTCTAGGAGCTGTTACTCTGGGGAAGGGCACTGCCCCTATATTGTGTTTGCTGTGTATAAACCAAGTACCCTCCTCTCTCTCTCACAGGTGGGAGTGTTGCAGGAATGGTGAGTACAGCAGACTTTATTCATAGGCCTGACATAGCCAGGAGGGTGATGGTTCCTATAAGCTCAGGGAATTAGGGGGACAGCTGGCATGGGAGAGAAACAGATTTGTGCCTAAGATGAGGACACTTAAGAGTCTTATGCATGTTCTGGGCCAGCTAAGAATGTGACCCTTCTCTCTGCCTCCTTCTCACAATATTTCTCTTTCCAGTTCTCCTGCATTTTCCCTGAGATGGTGGATAAGCTGATCCTGGTGGAATCTTGTGGCTTCTTTCCAGCTCCTCAGGTTAGATTTTTCCCTTTGGCAGACACAGAAGAGAGAGACAACAGGTAAAGATGCTCACCCCACACCAGAGGCTCATTCCTTCTACTGCCACTAGGGGCATGTTTCTCAGTTGCCATCCCTTCACTTCCCATTGCAGAGGGAAAAGCAACAAGAGGTGGAGAACGTAAGGGATTCATTTCCTTCTCTTCCCCAGGCACAGTGCTGGTCGGAACAGATCTAAATAAACAACAGTAAAAGTCTGGAGTCACCTAGGGCTTCAGGAGTTCCTGGAGAAGAAACAATGCCCTGGATTGTTATTTGTAGTCATGTTCCCAAGGGCCAACCGGAAATAGGGCCTGTTGGGCTAGGCACTGGACAAACATCATCCCAGGGCTGGCTGACTCAGGGAATTGGTGGAGGGATGTGAAGACAGTTCAGTGGTTCCAATCTGATCATAGATTCAGTACTGCCAACCCCAAATGTTCAAAAATCACGAGTCAGGCTCGCCACCAGAGAGATTGGCTTTAGAATCATGAAATGATATAAAATAATAGACTTGATGTTCTTATTTGCCTTTTGCTTTTTGAGCCTGTAAACTGCACCAGGAGTCACATTTCACAGTTGTTATTACATACAGTCCATATTCTGTGGTTGGCTGCCATCGGTGGGGAGGGGATCAAGGCCCCTGAACTTAGCCCTTGGCCTGTCAGTAAAAACGTTCCTTCTCCAGTGGGTTTGACACCTCAGATCTGATCTGTCCCCTCCGCAACCATATCTCCATGGTCCCAAAGCACTGGCAGTTCCCCTGAGGCAGACTGAGGGTGGTGTCTGAAGGAAACAGCCAGTATTCCTGCCCTATTTCCCCCAGCGCCCCCAGCTGGGAGACTCACTGACCCACGGCTTGGGATTCAAACTTCAGATGAGGTTGTTGCCTCCTTGTCAAACATGCCTAGAGAGCGCTTCCAGGCCCCTCTCCAGTACTCCCTGGCACCCTTCTAGGAGCTGTTACTCTGGGGAAGGGCACTGCCCCTATATTGTGTTTGCTGTGTATAAACCAAGTACCCTCCTCTCTCTCTCACAGGTGGGAGTGTTGCAGGAATGGTGAGTACAGCAGACTTTATTCATAGGCCTGACATAGCCAGGAGGGTGATGGTTCCTATAAGCTCAGGGAATTAGGGGGACAGCTGGCATGGGAGAGAAACAGATTTGTGCCTAAGATGAGGACACTTAAGAGTCTTATGCATGTTCTGGGCCAGCTAAGAATGTGACCCTTCTCTCTGCCTCCTTCTCACAATATTTCTCTTTCCAGTTCTCCTGCATTTTCCCTGAGATGGTGGATAAGCTGATCCTGGTGGAATCTTGTGGCTTCTTTCCAGCTCCTCAGGTTAGATTTTTCCCTTTGGCAGACACAGAAGAGAGAGACAACAGGTAAAGATGCTCACCCCACACCAGAGGCTCATTCCTTCTACTGCCACTAGGGGCATGTTTCTCAGTTGCCATCCCTTCACTTCCCATTGCAGAGGGAAAAGCAACAAGAGGTGGAGAACGTAAGGGATTCATTTCCTTCTCTTCCCCAGGCACAGTGCTGGTCGGAACAGATCTAAATAAACAACAGTAAAAGTCTGGAGTCACCTAGGGCTTCAGGAGTTCCTGGAGAAGAAACAATGCCCTGGATTGTTATTTGTAGTCATGTTCCCAAGGGCCAACCGGAAATAGGGCCTGTTGGGCTAGGCACTGGACAAACATCATCCCAGGGCTGGCTGACTCAGGGAATTGGTGGAGGGATGTGAAGACAGTTCAGTGGTTCCAATCTGATCATAGATTCAGTACTGCCAACCCCAAATGTTCAAAAATCACGAGTCAGGCTCGCCACCAGAGAGATTGGCTTTAGAATCATGAAATGATATAAAATAATAGACTTGATGTTCTTATTTGCCTTTTGCTTTTTGAGCCTGTAAACTGCACCAGGAGTCACATTTCACAGCTTCCTCCACAGCCACAAGGGCTAGAAACTTACTTTTTCTTTAAGAGTGAAGGCAGAAATCATCACATAGCCACTTGACTCCAGGAGCTGGGGCTTGAAGGAAAACAATAAATTCTCATACGACTCATGACAAAAACATGAGACCAGGCAAAATGGTCTCTGAAGCAGAGAGGGCAGGTTTGTGTAATTTTTGGTTATGCCCAAAGCAGGTCCAAGTCCCATCCACACAGACAAATCTGCTTTGTAATGGTGTGGGGGAGTGAGGACTGTGGCTCTGGGTTGGGGCTGAGGATGAGAGGTTTGAGGCGTGGGAGGGCTCAGGGCTGAGGCAGAGTGTTGGGATGCAGAAGTACAAGATGAAAGGTCAAGGTGAGGGGTTTGAGAGGGGCTCAGGGCTGGAACAGAGAATTGGGGTGCAAGTTTTAGGGGTGTGGGGTTTGGGTGGGGAGGAGCTCAGGGCTGAGGCAGAAGGTTGGGGTGCAGGGGTACAAGCTCTAGGGGCTAGATAAATGGCTTGGGGTATGGAAGGAGCTGGAGGACCCCTATCCACTCCTTTCTCCTCTCTTTTCCCCCCCTCCTCCTTTCCTCTCCTCCCTCCATTCCCAGCACCACACATACTCACCCAAACCCCATGTAGGAAGAACTCCACTCAGAGTTGCCTTGGGGTGCCTCTTCTCTCAGCAGGCACAGCAGTCTGCCTGTGGCTGAGGATGTTCCCTATAGCGAGACTCTGGCAGCAGCAACAGCCAGCAAGGGAGAACACTCCAAGCAGAGCAGTTTGCTGCGGGAAGGGCGCAGGTCAGGCCTTTCAGGTCAGGCAGCTGCCAGGGATGCTCAGGGGAGGTGTGCAGGGGCCAGCAAGCAAAGCCAGGGGAGAGACCCGGCCTGACATTGGTGGTGCTGAACTCCATGGGCCCTGAGATTGGTGGAGCCCCAGCACCATAAGCCCATACAACTCACCACCTATACTCTTTTGGGGTAAAATCTCTCACCTGTTATAAAAAGCACAATGTTGTACAGATGAAAGTCAGTGTGAGGCCCTTTGACAATGTCACCTCAAGGCCATTCCTCTCTGGTTCTTTTGGAGACCCATGTGAAAGGATTTGGTGGATCTCATTCCAGTTCCTAGTTGGATAGTCATCCACCCACACAAATGATGATCACCACTAATTAGCTCTCTTGTTGGCAGGGTCAGGACAGAGGCCCAGGATTAGATAGGCAAAGGAAGCTGAACTCCCCTCTTCCCTCTAGAAATGGGCCATCCAGGTCAGAGGTGAGATATTAAAGAACATGTAGCATTTAGCTTGTAAGAGCAGTGGTGTCCTTCCCTGATCACCACCTCTATTGCAGTGTAGTGCTGATGTTCACCCCACCCCACTCTCCGTGGCTGCTGTTCTGATTAACTGCATGTAGTTGGTAACGTACTTTGAGATCCTGGAGGGTGAAAGGCTCTTTAGAAACATAGTCACATGTGTTGCTGGCATCTCTGGTTTCTAGGAAAGCGACATGTGGCTGGACTCTAAGAGGAAGGTGATTGAAAGTCTCCTGAGCCTGGAAGAGAACAAGCCCCAGCCCCCTAAAGTACGCAGCCCCCAGGAAGCACTGCAGAGGTGTGTGTCTGCCCCCTCAGGTTTGGTCTCTGTGGGAGATGGTGCCATCTCTGCCCTTGCAGAACTCTTGCAGTAGATGGGTGTTCTCCTGGACAGAATTAATGGTGGCAGGAATCATGAGGTGCTGCTGACCCCTTTGTACCTTCCCCTTTCCTCAGAATCAGCAGGAGCTTGTATTCCATTGCCATCTCCCTGTCTCCTCTGGGGCTGGAATATGTTGGCCAATATGCAAGAGTTGAACTACTGTCACTTGTCCTTGTAAGATCTTTTCCCTTCCATCTCTTCCCTCTGTCACCCTCTCTGTTGATGCCTTCCATCCCCTAGTTTTTCAGCAGCACATGCTGTGTCTTCCCTAGGCTATTGCAAGCCAACAGCCACCTGACAGAGGAGAGTGGGAGGATCTTACTGCAGCGAGGAGCAACTGAGGTGATGGGAGGTGAGGTACCTCAGCTGCTGGAGGAAGTGATGGCAAGCTGGCTACAAAGCCATGCAGACATTGGGCTGAAAGGCATGGGGAGTGCCCTCTGCGCCCTGGCTTAGGCCTGAAACCCTGATGTCTGAATGAGGAACTAAATTTGGAGTGTGGAGCTTCCTGCTCCCAACAGCTGAAGTCCAAGCTCACCTTTCCCGTCAGGCCGTTTAATGCTTGAATAAAAAGAAGAAACGCCAAATCTATTATTCCTTCCCATCTCCCTGGATATGATCCTGGCAGTGACAGATTAGCCACTTGTCCAATGGGGCCTCTGCTCAGGGGCCCCAGCCAATTGGGGGTGCTGGAAAAATGGGTGCCCTGCACCCTGATCCTATTCCCAGGCAGGGACTCTGGGGTGGAGGTGAGGGGCTGCAGGCAGAAGGGGACAATGGGCCCCCATTTGCTCTGGTCCCACGAAACAGCAATTGGCCTCTGAATCCTGGGGTAACCTAAAGCAGAAGGGGAACTGGAACCCAGTGTGACTCCCCACCCTGTGGGGTGTAAATAACTTTCTCTCCTTTCTTCCCAGGCATGGTGTATAACAGAGACTTAAGAGTCCTTACGGTGAGTGCTGACATTCTCCTCTGTCCCTGTCTTGACAGGGCTCTTCGCTGAAAGGGAAAAGATCTTCAATTACATCACATCTGGGTTCCATTTCCCCCCACTTCCTGTCAGACTTGTTCAGTGTTTTCCCTCCAATTTTAAGTTATGTAAGTGACAGGGATTCCTCTGGGAGACTGTTGTACACTCTGAGCTTGTCTTCACTATGGGATGGGTCGATACTGTAGTGATCGATCCACCAGGTGCAGGGGGGATCCTTCAGACTAGCTAAATGGACTGCTGATTACTCTCCCATCAACTCTGGTACTCCACCAGCATGAGATGAGTAAGGGGAGTCGATGGGAGAATTTTTCTGTTGACCCAGTATGGAGTGGACCCTGCAGTAAGTGGATTTAAGCTACGTTGACTTGAGTTACGCTACTTACTTAACTCAAATTTCAGAGCTTAGATCAGGCATGTCAACTCGAAGCCTACTGAGGGCCACACCAACGAAAACTGATAGCTTTCAGGGCCACCAATGTACTTCTATTGGAAAGTCGAAATTATTTATTATTGTAGATTATGTTTTAGGTATATTGTATAATATTTTTCAGGTTTTATTTGAATATACAGGCAGTCCCCGACTTACGCGGATCCGACTTGTGTCGGATCCGCACTTACGAACGGGGCTTTTCTCGCCCCGGAGCTCATGGGCGGCGGGTCGCCACCCGTGTCCTCCGGGGCGAGAAAAGCTTCTCCCAGTCTCCCTGGTCTGCTGGGGGAGGTCCAGGAAAGCCGGCCCATCCAGTTCATGTCTTTCTTCATATTCTGATTAAAGTTGTCAGTTTTGCAAATGAAGACAAGTTCTTGAGCTTCTCTCTCAATCTAGCTTTTGAAATTGCTTTGTAAGAGTATAGTCACCTTGAGATCCTTTTCATAGAGACTGTCCAGTTTGGCCAATATTCATGGCAGAGGGGTATTGCTGGCACTTGATTATATATATCACATTAGTGGATGTGCAGTTGTATGAACCTCTGATGTGGTGGCTTATGTGGTTAGGTCCTCTAAAGATGTCACTTGTATAGATGTGTAGACAGAGTTGTCACCAGAATTTATAGCAGGGGTGAGTTCCTGGGTCAGTATGATTGAACTGTGATGTGTGGTTGTTTCAGGTTAGGAGCTTATCTGCAGACGAGTATTGGCCTGTCCCTCAAGGCCTATGAGAGTGAGGGATTATTTTCCAGGATTAGCTGTAGATCAAGAATGTCAAACTCGAAGCCTACTGAGGACCACACAAACGAAAACTGACCACTTTCAGGGGCACCAATGTACTTCTGTCATAAAGTTGTAATTATTTCTTCTTATAGATTATGTTTTAGGTATATTGTATAGTATTTTTTCAGGTCTTGTTTGAATATAATAGAATACTTAGATGTGTAAAATTGTTATTTGCTCATATCTAATAATTTTTATAATTTTTAAATATAAATTTAAGGTACTTTAATTATTTTTTATATGGTACATAACTTGTTTTGTTGAAATAAAAACAAGTATAGACCAAAACAATAAGGGGAGACTTGTATTTCAGAATAATTACTTCAGCCTGGCAAACAATAGCCTTTGAATTTTCTTTAAAGAAACACAGTGTAAACCAGGTACATGCTGATTCTTTTTTTGCCCTGGAATTTAAATATGACCTATCTGTTGGCTGCCTTATTCTGCATCCATACCCGCGTCCCCTGCTTGCTCTAAGTGTCTGTTTGTCCCCAGAAGGATTACCAAAATGAATCCAGTGGCTTGCAAAGCTGGCCTTTATGCTATCCTTAAGATTTCTTAAACTTTGCACTTTCAAAGGTACATGTAATATTCTTACACAGATAATCCATGCAAGACTAACAAGTTAATTGCCTTTTGGCTGACTGATGTACAAGTGCATATTTATTAGCAATATTGGTATACCCCAGTTACCCTTGACTAGCTGGTATTTCTTAGATATAAAACTAGATAATTTTCTTTTCCTTTTTTATCTTTAAAGCAGATGTAATTTGAGCCAAATGGGTATCCTTCAAAAATTGGAAACCCATCCCAAGTTAAGTCTATAGAGCAGAAAATGAAATAAGGATAGGTAAAATATAAGATAGATATCAGGTGTGCGCAAAGTGGAAATTGATGAGCAAACAGCCAAAACATGACAAAAAATTGATAAAAAGGAAACTTTTTTTACCTAATTCATCTGTGGAGCTCACTACCATTAAATAGCAGTGAGGTCAAAAGCTGGTAAGATTTTTAAAAGGATGAAGGCTTATTGATAATGAAAACATCTAAAATACCATAGGTAGGATAAAAAACAGATTAAAACCTGCTCATGTTTCAGGTCATAAGTCAGCCACAGACTGATGGGAGTGAAGAAGAAACACTCCCTATCCGGAGATAACTGCCCACTGTAGTTTTTTGTGGACATATGCGAGCACACACCCACCCCATCCTATGACACATCTTGTATTGGCCACTTTTGTAGCTACAATAATGGACTAGACTAGAGGGTCCCATTGGCTGATTTGGCAATGCCTACATTCCAAGGAAATCACATGACAAATATTAACACAGTATAGTTAGGTACTTAAAACGTGTGTGTGTGTGTGTGTGTGTGTGTGTGTTACAGTACTCTTGATTCCATTCCATTCGGTGGAAAAAAAGTATCATATTATTTGAGAAACAGTATGTGACACCATGCAATTAACACTGAAGGGGAAGAGCTAAAGGGCTGTGGTCCAATGACTTCCCCCAGAGCCAGGCACTCCCAGCCCCTCCTCTCCCCAACCTAATGCCTGGGTCCCTGAGCCTCCATCTCTGTGTTGCCACCACACACTTTTTCCTCAGGCGCTGGGGTGGCATGAGCACAGAGGCTAGCTGTGAGCAGGCGCTTGCTGCCTGTGCACAACAGCCCGGCTGGCCATGAGCAGTCACTGGAGCACAGAGCAACCCAGCAGGCTGTGAGCAGTTGCTGTGGTGCCGTGCGCAGAGCAGCCGGATGGTTGTGATCTGCAGTCAGCCACGTGCTCCCAGCGGGCAGCACTTTATTCTTTTATAAAATGTAGTGGCAGACCGCAAAAAACTTTGATCGGGCCGCATGCGGCCCTCCAGGCACCTGTTTGACATACCTGGCTTAGGTCAATCTGTCCCTATAATGTAGATGTGCCTGAAGACAACATCTCCTCTACAGCCAGGATAGAGGCTCTGAGGCCAGGCCTACATTAGACCTGGCAGCTCTGCTTAAAGTATGCAACTCCAGCTACATAGAATACATAGCTGGAGTCAGCTTACCTTAAGCTGAGTTTCGCAGTGTTCCCACAGTGAGAGGCCATTGGGAGCAAACGCTCCTCTCTGCTTCCTTTACTCCTCACAAAAGGAGTAGTACTGGGCGCCAGCAGAGGCACCCTTTAAGTTCAGTTTAACTTGACTTGCTAAATCAAACTCAGATTGATCACGGCAGTGGTGATCTTCTTTTTAGTGTAGACAAGGCCTGAGATTGATGTACCAGTGGTCGATGTAGTGAGTCTAGTGAAGACCTGCCAAATCAACCACAGGTCACTCTGCAGTTGACCCTGGTACTCTACTCCCCAATGATAAGAGTAAGGTAAATTGATGGGAGAGAGATTCTGTGGTAACTTGACCTAACTTGCGCTGACTCCAGCTGTTATTCATGTAGCTGGAGTTGAGTATTTTAGATAAATTTTCTGTGGTAGCATGGACCTAACCGAATCAGTTGAATTTACTTTTCAGCTTTGAACCCCCAGTGCAACTGATGAGATTTCCTAAGCAGAGCAAATTAGACTCTTTCAGATCATCCTGAACAAGTTCTTTCCTCCCCCACCTTAAGTTCCTGGGGAATGGGAGAGTGCTTAGAGGCAGCTTTCTAGCTTGGCTTCCCTTCTGTGGAATTGTCTTGGAAGGGGGCAGGAGTTGGGGTAATCAGATATCCTACACTTGTAGGACTGTCCTGCCGTTCGGTGAGGCAGATCTGCTCTACACTATGAACCTATGGCTTTCTTTACTAACTACTACTACGTGGTGTGTAGGGGTAACTAGTCATGCGCTCTCTCTCTGAATCACTTTGAGGCAACTCTCATTCCTGAGCATATTACTGCACTTGGTTTCAAACCCTACTGGCTAGAAAGTGGTGCCTTGTTTCAGAGATCCAGGCACCTTGTTGCCCTAACAAGACCACAAGGGAATTTCACGCATGAGGGATGACATACACTGCAGACAGAGGTGTGCCTGCAGCTTGGATAGAGCTATCTGGGCTAGCTTTCATCTAGCTAGCACAGTGAAAAACAGGGGTAGAGACCTTGGCACAGACCCTGGCCTGTGCTAGGGCGCAAGTACATTCCTGGTTCCAAGCAGGCTTGTAGAGCCCGTTCTGGTGTCTGTCACCATGTCTTCACTGCATTTTTATCTATGCAAACTAGTGTGCGTATGTCTAGCTGTGCTCTGCAGTCACCCCTCTGATTGCAGTGTAGACCTGTGCTGCAAACCTTCTGCCACCATGGGGGTGAGCCCCTCAAGCCCCAGAATAGCCAGTAGAGCTTAGTGTCAAATGTCAGATTCTCTGCCAACCAGTGAGTGCTTCCCCTCTCTCCTCACCTGAATTTACTGATGTCTGGTGTCTTTGCACTTGCAGCACAATCAAGATGCCCTTACTCTGGAGCAGTGTTCGCGCTTCTTGAGAGAAATCCAGGCCAGTGTTCTAATGATCATGTGAGTGATGCCCAATACCTGTTGTCTGCCCCTTTCTGTCTGGCCATACCCAGGGTGGGTAGTGCACTGGAGGGCTGATCTGAATAAAAAGCCTGTCCATGTGTGGAAGGTAGTTAAGGATTGAAAACTGGTGATAACTAAATAAGCGTAGTCTAAAACAACTCAGACACAATCAAACACAACCAAAGCTAGCACCCTGCTCTGCTTCCTTGGTTAGGACAGGAGTGCCCCTTCCTGGAGCCACAAGCCCCATCCCTTCCCATGGGTTCCTTCATCTAGCCAATGGCAGGCTTGTGGTCCCCTGCAGAAATGTGCATGGATTCCATCCTCTCTTGCTTGCTGCTCCCTCAGAACTACCAGGCAGCAGCTGAGTCGAAGCTCTTCACAATTGGCTAGCACTGCAGGTCGCTCAGGGAGGAAGAGTCCCCAAAGTTGCCAGAGAGAACCACTCATGTAGCATTCATTCTTCATCTGATCATCTGCAGCACAGGATGCCTCTTTCTCCCATTCAAGGGGTTGCCATCATCCCTCCTGTTAAAGGAGGATTTCCTTATCCTTTGTCTCCAGGCTCAGGCTTTCTTCCCCTTCTGAAGGTGCTGCTCTCCCCCCCCCACACACACTTTTTTAGAGACTCCTGCTTACCGGATCTTTCAAAAAGTGCACCTATGGACTTGTGACAGGTTTCCTCTGTGCACCCTATGCTCTGGTTTTCAACCAGGGGATACACTGAGGACTTCCAGAGGTACATCGACTCCTTTAGATATCTGCCTAGTTTTACAACAGGCTGCATGAAAACACTAGTGAAGTCAGTACACACTAACCTTTCATAGAATGACTTGTTTATATTGTTCTATATATTATGCACCGAAATGTAAGTATAATATTTATATTCCAATCTGTTTTACAGTTACATGGTAACAATGAGAAAATCAGCAATTTTTCAGTAATAGTGCAGGTGTGATACTCTTACATATTTATGTCTGATTCTGTTTGGTAGTTTTTAAGTGAGGTGAAACTTGGGGGAGAGTTACAAAAGAAATCAGATTCCTGAAATGGGTTTGGTCATCTGGAAAAGGAGAGAGTCACTCTTATAAACCTTGTTTCCCTGCTCTGTATGGGGAAGGGCAGGGGGAGGAAAGAAATGCTTGTACTGGAGCTTTCATGATGGAAAAACCCATTGTGAGACATTGCTCAATTCCTGTTATGTGTGTAAGTGGATCTCACCTGCTGCCAGCTTTCTCCTCCTATACACCCAACCCAAAGCAGCATCTCTCAGTTCATCGCATGAATGGGCTGAAATAACAGTTGGAGAATTCTGACTATTCAGCAGGGGGTGGTGTGTGTGAAAGAGAAATGACCAAAGACTTTAAAATGGCTCAGTAGGAGAACTGCTGAGTGGAGTTTGCCTTTAACAAGAAAAATAAGCAAAAACACATCTCAAAAGTTATAAAACTACTTGGAAAATTTGAACACAACTCTCACCCATTCTGGACTGCATGCATCCTGGAGCATTAAGACAACGAGGCAGGAACTACTTTAATATAAACAATGAGACGATTTACCTGGCATTGCTCGGGTCCTTCACTCAAATAAGGTTTTTTTTTTTCCTTTCAAATCACTGCTTTGGGGTGGGGCTGGGGGTGAGGGGTTCAGTATGCAGCCTGCCAGGGAGAGAGGACAACCCCAGTCCTCTTTAACCATAGTAGCTTGGGGCCAGGTGAGAAGCACCTGTCTATGGCCGCTGCAGCTGGCACACCTAGGAGAGGGGTGCATGTCCCCTGACTTGGGGATAGACAGACACACAAACTCTCTGAAATACATAGCAGAGAGCTGTTCTTTTCTCCACCTGACAGACACACAAACTCTCTGAAATACATAGTAGAGAGCTGTTTCTTTCTCCACCTCTGCTGGCTCAATGGGATGATAGCTGTCCTGGTTCCCATCTTTGGCCCCTTGCTGCCCACCTGTGATCATTCTAGTGGCTTATCAATGCGATCAATGGCAGTGTCTCACAAGTGAGGCATTTGAAGAGGAGCAGGTGCTGAATTAAACTCAGATGCAGAACAAGTAGCAAACAGCACATTGAACGCCTGGCACGGTTTCCCGTTAGTGTCTGGCTGAGATGTTCATGTTACTGGGAGCTTGACTGGGCCTGAAGTGTACATATCATACTGTACCAACCAATGGTGAGGAAAGATGAGGCAAAGGAGGGTGAAGGACATTAAAAGGTTAGCTCATTATAATAATTACTACCTCTTATAAAGCACTCTCCATCAGTAGAACTTAAATGCTTTACAAAGGAACTTGGTATCATAATATCAAGAAACTTGTGCAGGTCTTTAAAACTCTTCTTTAACTACTTCTCATTGCCTAATTCTCTCCCCCAGTGATGTTAGCCTGGTTTGCCCATTTCTCCACTTCTCCCAGAGTTGGAAAAACCCATCATCAAAACTAAGCTAAGACCATTGTCACTACGCCCCACAAACCTTTTTCAACTGCTTGCTTTTATCACACCTCCTCCAAGAAGGGGCAGCGGGGCACAAATTGATTTAAATAAGGCACAACAAGTAAATTATAAACATTATACTTTGCCTCCACTGTATGTTGCTCCTCTTCTTAGAGGACAAGGTCTGCAGGACTGGTGTCATGTCCACTTCTTTTGTTAGCAAGTGTGCCACTTAATTCTGATTGGGACCTTAAAGCACCTCTGAAAAGTATGAAATGAAACTCCACTAGAAGTTGAGGGAGGAATGAAAGAGGAGAAACCAACTGCAGAGCTGGTTTAGCCTCCTTTTGTTACAGAAATAGAACCCTGGGAACTTTTACCTTAGGAGAACATGGGATAAGTGTCTAGCTCTTTCTTCTCTATCCAGCAGAATCCAATAATATTTTCTGGAGATGTCATCTTGAAAATGTAGGGGGAAAGGATTCTTAATCTCACATTGTACCACCTTGTGGAAGATATGTGGTATTGCAGCCTCCCTTAAAAGTTAAAATTAGGCAACCACAAGTGGGTTGTGCCCACAAAAGCTCATCTGCATTTTTGTTAGTCGCTAAGGTGCTGCAGGACGGTTTGCTGTTTTTTCACAAAATACTTGTTTGTGGGGTATGGATGTTAAGAACCAGTTAATAAGCTAATTGAATAGTCAGTGGAATTTCCATTGACTACTCGATTAGTTGATTAAGGGGGTTAGCTCCCGGAGGTAGCACAAGCTGGGACTGAGCAGTCTTGGCTTACACCAGCTATGGGACCACTGTGGCTCTGCTTGTTATATGTAGTAAGAGTTGCCTCTCCTTCCACCCCACTCCCCCCCAGAGCTGGTTTAATACAGAGAACTGGGCGGGGGGGATAACTGGTCTTATCAGGTAGACAACTCAACTAGTTGCTTACCTACTAGTGTGGGGTTTGTTTTGTTTTCTCTAATTTGTCTGTTTTAGCATTTCCTGAGTGGCTCCTCTTATAACCCCTTGGGCCTGCTGACCAGAGAAGACTAATGCCCTGAATTGTTTAATGGACAAAACCAAACACATGCATGCATACGAGGGGGGAGAAGCCACCAGGGAGAGATGGAGTAGCTGGCTGGGTGAAGCTGGTCTTTGGACCCCAGGCAAAGCCATGCTGGCCTTTAGCTTTCCTAAGAGCTTATGTACCATGAGCAATCCACTCTTCGAGCAGGGGCTTTGCTAGGTAAACGACTCCTAAGTTTGGTCCCTTCCCTCACTCAGTCAAGTGAGACTAACTCTTGTCCACAACAGTCCCGTGATCTAGTCACAACCTACACATATGTGATTGTGGAAGGCAGGGTGAGCTAGTCTAATTTCTCTGTCTGCTTGCTCTCTCTGACTTGCCTCTCAGGGCAGGAGAGCAGCTGAGATTTGGCCTAAGCCATACTGTGTCTTACACAGAACTTTGTGACTGTTTTCTAGAGCACAGGATGGAATTTTTAATCCTGAAAAGAAGAGCCAGTACTTTGTGAAGCCTCTTCAGGAAGCCTTCCAGTCCAACCTTAAGGTGAGAGCAAGCACTAGCCAGACAAGCCCAGTTGTTGACAGATGTGCACCCAGGGAAATAGTGACTGTAGAATAACATTTGGTGTGGACACTCTTACTCCAAAATAAGCCTCCATCTGGGGAGTTTGACTAGACTAGTTTTAGTGCCTCAATTTCATACCCTGTCTCATTCTGGCTGTCTCCTTCATTGGAAACTAGAGCCCCTACTGAACAACTGCTTGGCCATGTCCTTCTCCACTTCCCCCCAGCAGCCGGATGCCTCAGATGAAGGGGCTCTCCCTTCCCCTGATCAAAGGGTGCTTCAGTCTACCATTGTAGGCCCTACATCAGTGCTCTGCTTACTCCATGTTTACCCTTAATATAGGCAGAGCCAGGTTTGTACAATTGCTGATGAGGCTGATGGGCCAGAGCCCCCAGCAAGGGTATAAATGGCAGATTGTCCCTCATGCTGGGCACGTGTTGGTGGCTTAGGGAGAAGTCCCCCTCATAGGCACAAAAACTGAAAATAAGGGCACAAGGGAAAGTCTAGTCCATGTGTGCTGGATCAAACTGTGGTGCTAAGCTGGTGACAACCCAGGCCTGGCTGGGTGGGTTTGCGAGCAGGACCTGATACAAAGCTGTGTTGGACCTAAAGGACTCTTTTAAAATAGAACTCACGTTTCTAAGGGGTCACCTCATACAGAGTCTGGAGTAACTCCCTGACTGACCCCAATGGTCAGCCTCCTTTCGGGGCAATATCCCTGACTGACCCCAATGGTCAGCCTCTCCTTTCGGGGAAACCGCACAGCAACTGAAGCAGCGTGCTCCTCTATTAACAGGCTGCCGTGGAAGGACCCCACACTGGGATTCCCCATCCTGAGGAGCTAACAGCCCTGCATTAGGGATCTATCTGACAGCACCATGTGCTCAGACTTGTGGCATTGTGTGTGAAGAGGGGTCTATTTGCCTGCCCCCCCACAAGCAAGCCCTTTGGGTGTTAATTCC